GGTCTAACATGATAATTAAACTTGATGAGAAAAGCAAATCCTAGGCCATTGTCTCTTCTGCCAACTTGGAGGATTTTCTGGAAAGGTCAGTGTGGAAAGTTGGACGAAGAGGTTTGGATGTACAGAATGGGTATAAACTTCCATTCCGAAAGTCCATATAAAACGAATGACCGTTTTGTAAATGGTCGGTTTTTTGTTAAGGTTTAGGTGAGAGTAAAGTTTGTAATGGCGGAATTTTATCAATGGATAGACCCAGGTGGCAGTCTGTCGTAAAGGAGGGCAAAGTGATTTTCTTAATGCGACAGTGACAAGCACATTTAGTCTTGCTAATTTTGCAGATAAGAGTTGACAACGGATGTGTTGGATTGACAAGAAGTTAGCCGTATCGTTGGCAAATGCGGATATGGCTATGCTTAGGTAGTAATGAATTGGTTCGGTTTTTTAGAGAAAGTCATTTTAAATACCACTTGGTAGATATCTCGTTTTATGTTTTATTACTACTTGTGTGCATATTGTGAGAGAATTCAATTATTAGAGTGAACAAGTACTGTCAGTGTCTGACGTCGAATATTGAGTACTCTATTGATACTTAATTAGACTAGTTAGTATGTAGCTGATTTGTGTAAAGATTGATTGAGAAGTATCGAAAACTCAAAAAAAAAAAAATTATTCAAGTGTGAGTATGTCTAATTTGAAAACTAAAAGCTAACGGGGTGAAATGTTGAAGGGCTGAAATACCTTGTGGATAGCCTCCGTTATAAAATATGTATGTAAAGGTTGATGGAGGAATATCGAGTACTTCACCACTCTAACTGAGTGAATCGTATGTAAATGAATGATAGTGTGAGTGCATATGTTGAAAAACTGCATGCGTAATTGGCTGTTGACATTACCAGCCTAACTTCGGCGGAAGGAAAGGATAATATATTCTATTAAACAAAAAAACTGAACTCTTGGTTTGTTGTTTAACGAGATGTAGTTTTATTGCTATATTAATTTCAATATTGTAAACCAAATTAAACGAGATAAGAAATTCATGAGTGTCAATAAAAATGATTTAAATTCCGTTTGACCAATTAATATCTTTCAATTAATTAAGGTTTTTAGTTGAAAAAGGCAAAAATGAAAGAAAATTCAAAAGTTGGGGTTGAGATGGGAAGTTAGTGTCCGAGTGGATCGAGCTCAAGTGGTAGAGCAGCGGCGTATCAAGCCGATGATCGTGGGTTCGAATCCCGCTCGTGACACTGACTTTTTTATCTCAACTGAAAACCTTAATTATATGAAAGATATTAATTGGTCAAGCGGAACACGAAAACTAGTGAATTAAATAAGTTTAAATGAAGTATACCTTCACTAAAGCTCTCCGTGGCCATTTCGTTTGTCGCCGAGAATCCAATCCGATTACACGACATTTGAAAAATGGCAAAAAGGAGGGAAAATTCGAGAGGTGAGAGAAAATTAGTATCTGAGTGGATGGAGGTCACGATACCTCAAGTGGTAGAGCAGCGGCGTATCAAGCCGAAGATCGTGGGTTCGAATCCCGCTCGTGACACTGACTTTTTTATCTCAGCTAAAAACCTTAATTATGAAAAACGATTTAATTTTATTTAATTGTATGAGGATTTGAGGAAAAATTCACAACTACACGGGAAAGGATTTAGTGATAGATGACAATTTAACAATTTATTACCTGGTTTTTCTCTTAATTATGCATTAAGAGCAAAACTAGGTATTCAATTTTTTAGGAGGGTATTTCAACTACGAGGTTATATGAACCCTCGGGGTGCCGGCCTAAACCGTTACGGTCACCGACGCCCCTAATCAATTTTACATTTAAATCTGATTTGGCTGTGTTCTAATCCGCGCTTTTCGTACGTTCAAATTGACCGCCTTAAACGAGCTGTCGCCTTGTCGGAGGACTTGATAATCACGTGTCAATAATCTGCACGAAAAACGTACTTTTGAACAACTTAAATATGTTTTTTAAAAAGATAATTCCTATTCACAGTTTGTTTCTTTTAATGTTCCGGGTTTTCAAGCTTATAGCTCATCAGGTCGTTGAGCTCCTTCAAGCTTCAGCTGTAATGTGTAAGAGATTAGTGACCGATAATCGATAGTTATTCAGATATCGTGAGATGCGGTCGGGTGTGATGTAGGATTCAGAAAAACATTTTCTTTATCGTGCCAACGTTTCGATCTTTTATTGAGATCATCTTCAGGGCCTCGGATTTACAACCAATGTTTACATTTAACAATTACATTTAGGATGTGGAAAAGTGAATTTATACAATGCAAAATATTGGGTTGTCCGGAAAATAATGCAGGATTTTAAGTTTTCATTAAAAAAAATCTATATAAAATATTCTGTTTACGTTTACAGGATTANTAGAAATTTGTTCGCTGATACCGATACATTTGTATAGATTATTTATAATTATTTATTTACCAATTGATTATTTATTACCGATGTAAATACTGATTTATTTATTGAGTATTTATATTGAAAGTTGTTTGCTGATATTGGTACATTTGTATAGATTATTAACTATTATCAGTTGGTTGATTGACAGATGACGAACCTAGGTCATTCTGGGGGTGCTGGGTCGGCTGTCTCGGGTTGTCTCAGGGGGGTACTCCGCATTCAAAGAGCAATTGGTCCCCGGGAAGCCGGGAAGTGGGGAGGATGTGGACTTTTCCAGGGGCCTTTGTTGCCATGTACGGTTTTTATCCACATCCTCCTAATGCTACCGAAATTAGATGTAAACCTGAATGAGAAGCGGGTGTATGGGATGGTACCCTTTGGGGGTGGCCCGGATCGGTTGGCGTTGTCACCAATTAATTGACATTGACTGAATGTCTGTAAGGCAAAGTAAAAAAAAAAAGCTTTCATCCACACTCTCGCAAAGGCTTGTGTTTTCTGTTATAAATAACAATTAATTGCCTGTTAGGTAGAGTCTTTTGGTGCCTCCTGGTCAGTGAGGACGGCTGTTGCCGAGAATTTTTGTTCGAGTCTCTCGCTAATAGACATGGCCTAAGGTCAAAACAGGCATAAATAGGCCTGCAATTTTCGAGTTTTTCTTTGTTGGCTTCCTCTCGATACTCGTACAACATATTAACCTGAACGATGCGAGGCTTCGTTTTCTTTATTTTATCAACATAATCTAAATTCTGTAAAAATAGAAAAAAAAGTAAACTTGAAAAATGAGTACATAAACAGACAAACATCAAAATTAAACAATTTCCTTAAAAAATTATTTAAAAATTATAAAAGTCTAATTATTTCATATTAAATCAATATTGACCATTCACCTCTTTCGTGTAATGGATATTGAACAATTTTCTAATTATCCCTTCAATTTCCCGGCTAGTCCACAATTTTCAGCCTATAAATATCGCTTTATAGTTTAATGATGTACTTTAGCGCTTTATATATTACCAACGCGTTGTAATCTTCATTAAAGTTAAACCATCATATTTCTCTATTTTGCAATTTCACGATAATTGCTCTGAACCACTGGGTCAATATATTCATTCTGTTTATTGCTCAAAGATTGGTTTCGGATTTGTACACTTTTTAACAAATTGTTTATATTATTTAATTTAACAATTTTTTACCAAAAACAGACAGATTTTTTTATAACGCAAATTCCGTTTTTTCACTATTCAGCTATATGTCGACAAAATCTACAATTTATTTTTTTATAAAATAATAAATGTTAAATAATACAATTCAGCCATTTGAGCAAGAATCCTAGCAGATAGTTGGAAGATGGAATTAGGAATACCGATAATATGTCGCTACGATTACACGATTAAATCAGGCTAATTTTAAAAACAAATTAGTCTAGGAAAAAAAGTAATAAAATTAAACTACTTAAACAACTTGACAAAAGATTATTGATTGAAATGTGTAGAGATTAGTGACCGTTAATCGATAGTAATTCAGATATCGTGAGATGCAGTCGGGTGTGATGTAGGTTTCAGAAAAACATTTTCTTTATCGTGCCAACGTTTCGATCTTTATTGAGATCATCTTCAGGGCTCAAAGTGTTTGTCTTCTGTGTAATTGTGCCATCCTTGTGTGTCGTGTTGAGAGTGCCCACTATAATATATTTTGCATTGTATAAATTCACTTTTTTCCACATCCTACATGTATTTGTTAAATGTAAACATTGTTTGTAAATCCCAGGCCCTGAAGATGATCTCAATAAAAGATCGAAACGTTGGCACGATAAAGAAAATGTTTTCTGAAACCTACATCACACCAGACCGCATCTCACGATGTCTGAATAACTTCAGCTGTAAGCTGGAAATCCGGATCATTGAAAACAACTAAATCTGAGTAGGAACTATCTGTTTAAAAAGATTGTACACTCACTCGGCCATTTATCATTTCTAATTAAATAGTCAGATGATGAAATTATGGCAATCCTAATCAGTGCACAACCATTTTGTGAGAATAACATCTATTTCAACTAACGCGCATGCTAATCCATAAAGCGATTGAGGTACAAAATGGATTTACGGTCGAGTTGCAATTAAAGTATTTCAAGCTTGAACTTCGTTTTACCGAATGGAAATAAAGCTTTGACAATACACCGGAAAAAAATGGAAACGGATTAAATGTTAAAACTTTATTTAAACTCAGGTTAACCCTGTGAAACCTGGCTGAGTTATGTTAAACCCGCATGTCTCTCAAAACACCCTTTTTCCACCCCTTGAAACATATTTAATGATTAAGCTGAATAAACGTTTTCAGTCGCAGCACATATTTTTCCTCTATTATTTTAAATAATTATGAGGATGTAAAATGGTCTAAAGTTAGAACCCGTATGGCCGAGGAGAATTCAGAGACAAATCCTTCACATTGCGAAAATAAATCTTAAACCTTTCCTAATATACGTTTTTTTAATACTGTTACACAAGTTTTTTAAACCGATAATTTATGGGTTTTTCCGAAGATGCAGGAATTTAACCGACTTTATGGGTTTTGCTCTTACCTGAGCATGTAGAGAATTTCCCCGTCGGGGTTTATTCGGATCAGCACGTTTGGAACAGTGACGAACTGGAATTCTGCGTGTTTTGCGTTGGGAAAATAGACCTCGGGCTTCCAAATCGCCTTCACCAGGTTCGGATCGTTAAGGTCGAGCACCTCGGTAATGTCCGGGTGCTTCAGACGTTCATCGAGCCATTTCTGCCGCAAATACAAGTCCACTTCGTAATCCTGAAAAAAATATACGTCATTTCAACTCTGTCGGCAGAACATATGTACTTATATATATATTTCATTTGGGATGTATTGGAACTAATCAGACCCATGTGCTTTTTACTTTTTTTTAATTTAAGTGCGCATCCGCCTCACCTCATCAGTTTTGGGTTGCTAAAATGGGTGTGATGACTAGTGACCGTTAGTCGATGATTATTCAGAAATCGTGCGATGCGGTCTGGTGTGATGTAGGTTTCAGAAAAACGTTTTCTTTATCGTGCCAACGTTTCGATCTTTAATTGAGATCATCTTCAGGGCCTCGGATTTACAACCAATGTTTACATTTAACAATTAGGATGTGGAAAAAAGTGAATTTATACAAAGCAAAATATATTTTTTATATTCAATCAAAGCATTTCTACTCGCTCAAAGTGTTTCTGAGTAAAAATACTTTGATTGAATATAAAAAATATATTTTGCTTTGTATAAATTCACTTTTTTCCACATCCTAAATGTATTTGTTAAATGTAAACAATGTTTGTAAATCCCAGGCACTAAAGATGATCTCAATAAACGTCGAAACGTTGGCACGATAAAGAAAATGTTTTTCTGAAACCTACATCACACCAGACCGCATCTCTCGATTTCTGAATAATTTTCTAAAATGTATTGGCTTACATATTATTTTACATAACTATGTCTTTTTTCAGCTGCATAAGTTACATTTTTACATACATCTATAAAATATAATTAAATTATGTTATGAATTGCTTTGTCCCCCAACTCGTTTCTGATTCGGAAAAACATAGAGGAGGTTCCCCTATCTTACATAGATCCAATAAGTTGCGTCATTTTCAGCTATGATGTGTTTTTTTATTTTATTCATATTTTTGGTCGTATTTTATATTTAATTTTACATTTTTAACCGAACACCCTTCTTGCATCCTATGCCGATAGCTCTACTAGCCTCTAACCTCGATCTTGCGGTTGCTTCGGAAGTTGTAGAGACAATTAATTAAGGTTTTTAGTTGAGATGAAAAAAAGTTAATGGCACGAGCGGGATTCGAACCCACGATCTTCGGCTAGATACGCCGCTGCTCTACCACTTGAGCTATCGTGACCTCGATTTGCTGGGACACTAATTTCCCATCTCAACCTCCTCCTTTTTGCCATTTTTCAACTACAAACCTTAATTAATTCATTCCATTTTCCCTTCCTGAAGTGAGTGTATTTATTGGCGAGAATGTGAGAGTGTATGGGTGGGTAGTGGTCGGAATATCGAGTACCCCACAGACCCACCAAACTAGTCTAGATTTCTCTTTGTGTGTTTTTGGTAGAAAGAATGTATTTATTGGCGCGAAAGTGAGTGTGTATGGGTGGGTTGTGCAGGAATATCGGGTTCTCCACAGACCCACCGATTTAGGTTAGTATTAGCCTATAATATCTTTTAGAGTGAATGGGCGGAGGCACTGTTGTAATATTAAATGCGCCAGTGGCTCCGCATTTTTTAATTTGTAAATACAGAATGATTGGTTACTGTTTGAGTGAATGTATTTATTAGTGCGATAGTAGTGTATGCATGGGTGGGTCTATGGTGGAATATCAAGTACCCCATAAACCAACCAACCTAGGTTAATATTTTAGATTAATTGTAATTTTAATTGTACATAATGTATGAATGTATTTATTAGCGTGAATGAGGGCGGGCCTTCAGAAGAATATCGAGTACTCTGAAACCCGCATATAGGCTAGGCTAGGATTGAATGTTAGTGAATGAGATAGTTTCAAAGCCTTTTCACCACGTGTGGGAGGGCTAAAAATGTAGAAATAACGTCCCAGAACACAACCAGAAAGATCGCCAGACTTCCTACAGAAAAGCTAATTAAAAAAAAAATTAAATAAAATAAATAAATAAATAAAAATAAATAAATTTATAAAACGTGAGGTGGAAGAAATGTGAGGTGCCGGCAATAGCCCAGGCAGCTAGCCGGCCGGGGAAAAAAAAAAAAAAAAAGACATTAAAAACATATGTTATCACAGAGTATTACTTTAATGACTAGAATTACAGCTTATTAAAATGATATGTACAAAGGATTACAATTAAGATGAGAACACGACACAACTTCGCCTCACCTAAGGTTGGACTGTTACAGTTAGTGAAGGCTACGAGACTCTGGGCACTCTCCATTATGCGCCCTCTAACGGTCGCCACCTTTTTTCCGTTTTTTATAAATTTCCAATAACCCCGCAAATGTTGAGATGGAACTTAGTTCGTCACCATTTAAATTGCAGGCACTCTTCGTTAAATGGATATATACCTTTTCCAACAGGAATCTTCTCTCAAAACCGACCTCTCGACCCAAGATCTCCGGTGCGTCCAACTTGAAAAAATGACCATTCTTTGTAGCATGAGAGGACAACCCTGTGGTAAACTTTTTATTAATACAATCCAATCTATGTTGGTTCATTCTAATAATTTTCTGTTTGTTTGTCCAACATATTGAGCGCCGCAACCACCACAGGACACCCAATAAACCACATTAGATCGTGTGCCAATAGGCTCTTTAGACTTTAAAACGGTATGAAGACTAGAAAGATTATTTTTGTATTTGTAAGCAATTTTTACATTTATTTTATTAGGCATTAATTTTTTAATTCTCTGAGTCACACCAGGAATGTAGGTGATTGACTTGAAGCCAATGTAGGTTCCACCTCAACATTCACCAACGGAATACCAACAGAGTTATTCATCCCAATTCTGAATCTATTCATAAGTTTGAAAATAAGTGCCAATGGATAATGATTTGTTACTAAAATTCTTTTGACTGTTTTTTCATTTTTATCTATGAATCTAGGATCACAGAGGCCTAAAGCGCGGTTTATTAAATTTTTAGCAGCATTTACCTTTAGAGAAAATGAATGAGATGAGTGAAAATCCATGAATCTATTGTTATGAGTAGGTTTTCTATACCAATTAGTTTTTTCCGATGAGAATTTTTTCTCTTCTCTCTTGGGAAAGTATGCATTATTGTTTTAATTGTTGATTGTTAAATTTATATTAATTATGTATAGTTTTTCTTAATAACTAGGCCCTGATGATGGCAACATAATGTTGCCGAAAGGTTGTGATCCCAACACTTTTGTCTTTCTTTCACCTAGTAAAGACCTTAAAGAAGATTTGAACTCTACATTGATTATCTGCAGGTCGATTTACAAATATCATTTCTTCAGTATTTCATCTTGTACGAACGGGATATGTAAATCTGTATGTATAGTTTTGGTTCGATACATAAAACGAGAATCTAGTATTTTTCGTAGTATTAAAGACTGGGCAGTTTGAATGCGGTGGATGTTGGAATGATTGGCTGAACAACTCACTTTCAGTCCGTAAGTCCAAATCGCCTTAACTATGGTGTTTTAAAGCAGCCTTTTAATTTTGAGAGGTAAATTAGAACGTTTTTCGAGAAGTCGTGCAAGAACTCTATATCGGGTCATAACCTCCTGACGATCCGGACGTGCGTGAGGATTCCACGTCAGGCGTTTGTTGATGTACGAGGTACAGCACCTTGTCCGCAGTTGCGAGGGAATTATTGTTTAACAAAACAGGGGGAAGATCTTTTTACGAAGAGTGAACGTAATGTGGGTGGATTTGTCTGTGTTAAATTTTAACCTTTTCTTTTTACACCAAGACTCTAGTAGTATGATGTGTTGGAGGTTTCGAGTGGAAATAACAAGGTCGGAGTTGCTAGAGAATTGCCGTACCGTCTGAAAATGTAAAATGTGATGGTTTCGTGATGAGATGACATGACAGCTGTGAAAACCTGGTATAGGGTAGGGGCCAGAACGCTACCCTGAGGAACACCAGCATGGATAGGAAAATATGCCGAAAGGGAATGGCCTTCGATGACTTGGATGAATCGGTGAGGTAACTGTGCAGTACGAGATAGTAAGAGAATAGAAGGATGCCCTTGAGCATGAACAGCAGGACTGAGTGCCAAACTCGATAAAAAGCTTGACTTACGTCAACAAAGGCTCCGGAACAATACTGTCCCATCTCAAGGGAGGAGGAAATAATGCCAACCACGCGGAAACACTGCTGGACAGTTGAGTGAGGGTTGCGAAAACCAAATTGTTTGGTCTGGGATTATGTTTTTCTATAGTTTTTCTAAAATTTTACCCAAAGTAGGTAGTAGACTTATTGGCCTGTATGAAGTAGTACAATGTGTTGGCTTTTTTGGCTTGGAGAACATCCGAATTAACAAGTGCTTCCAAGCTATAGGGAAGTAGGTTGTACGAAGAACTGAATTAAATAGGTATGTAATGAATATGATGGCCTTTTTGGGAAGGCGTTGGAGAATTTTTGGGGTAATAAGATCAAAACCTGGAGCTTTCTTGGATTTTAGGTGTTGTATGGTAGAATGAACGTCAGAAGATAAAAAAGCTTTAAAAGGGAGGGAGTGAAAATTAATGTTAGGCCTGACCGGCTATATTTACTATATAATATATAAATATATTTACAAAAATATTTTTCAACTCTCGCAATTGTACATTTATGATTTACTTCCCTAGTAATTTTTACATTCTCAAATTTTATGACATGTCCTGCATTTTTAATATGTTGACTTAAACCATTCGTTTTTAATTTTTACATTTTGCTTGTGTAGGTGTAGCCTTTTACATAAAAAATGTTTCGTCTAGAAGTATTTTGTACAGATTCCTTTTAATTTATGTAATACTTCGTTCCTTTTTATTTTTAGTATAGGATTTTTTTATGAGAAATGATAAAGTATGTGTAATGTGTGAATAAAATAGAAAACTTTTAAAAATTTCTTCTTTTTCACCTACTTTTATAATTTTTTCGGTGAGGCCTTCTAGATAAATTAATGTTCCATATTTATTTACTTTATCTTGAATAATTTGTTTCTCTACTTTATTGTGAAAAATCTCTTTCTTTGTTGTCTTACTGTTCTCTCGACAAGACTGTTTATATAATTTTTTATTAGTTTTTATTTTATTTT